TTTAGTCCAGATGGGTCTGGCTCATCCAGTTGTTGAAGTACAACAAATCAAAGCCCTGTTCTGAGTGAGCCTGCAATAGTTGTGGGCGCTGGTGATAGCAACAAAAGCTTTGTTTGTACCAACAGGGAACAGTGAGGTCAGGCGCAAGCTGTTGGAACTATTAATGCATTTTTAAGTGCTGAGAATTAGGAATATTTTATTAATTCTGGGAGACCTGAACATGCAGCTTATGCTAGGGTCTCCTTTGTGATACTGTTCCCAATTAATAAACAAAGGCATGCCTAATCTAGGTAAAAGAATTGCTGTGGTGTTGAGAGTTCTACTGTTTGCCTACCTCCTGAGGGAGAACTGGTGTTTAGCAAAGGCAAAACAGTTGGTTGCTCAGGAAGAAAACAAGCCCACCGGACTTGGTAGCCCTGAAGCCCTGAAACCAGTGAGTGCAGTGTATGTGCAGTGTAACTACTATACTATGTAAAGTCTCAATGTTTTAAAGTCTGGATCTTTATCAGTTCTGCTCTCACATGAACACAGAGGTTTTGTGGACTTCTGGTTTCTATAAATGTTGAAGGATGAAGTATTGTAAGGTAAGGGCAGATCTTGTTTTACATCTGACTGAGATGGCTTCCAGAAGGTCTGTGAATGGTGTTTAGACTGGGTGGTTGGTGGTGTTCCCTCCCCAGCTGGGAGGAGAGAGGGGCAGTCTGTTTTAACAAAATCTTGATGTGAATTCCTGCCAGTCTGATTGCTGGATCATAGGAACTATGGTAACCATATGGGGAGACTGAGGTGGTAAATGAAGATCACTGTGTGAATATGTAGGTGGTGTAAATAGTGTCATTAATCCAACAGTTTTGATACTTTCAAATAATAAGGTAGTTAATTGGAAAGTTTGATTGTAGGCAACACCGTTTGATTATCTTGTTATGCAGAAGATACATTTTCAGCATATGCAGAGAAAAGCCAGTGAAGCCTTTGTGCATTTGAAGTGACATAATTGCTCTGGGTTGCTTGTTTGAACTGGCAAAATGGATTTGCATCACTGAGATAACTTCTCTTTTTGTCAGTCTACCATTCAGTGAATAGATGCTGAACAGTTTGGGAACTTAAGCTTCATGGTCACCACCTTGTTACCCACTAAGCTGCCTCTGACCTCAAGTAGTCTGTTGTACTGATGGAAAATAAATGGAAAAAACTGGAAAATAACAAGACCTTATCGATGTTAGTGTATTCTCTTCTGCCCTGCTCCCCAAACTCTGGACTCATGCAACTCTGAAAAATAACAGGATTTTTGATTTTAGTGAAAGTGGTGCCATGAACTTTGTGAAACCATAGTTTCTCGTCTTGGCCATGAAATTCATACCTTGCTTATTTGATATCACTCCTAACAATAAAGAATTTTCTCTCTTTGCATCACAAGCAGATACTAATGTGTCCTTTGTGTCCAGGAAGGCTTGGCAATGATTGTCTTTGTTTTTCTACAAAGCCATTGTGTTGTTCATTAAAGTAATATTCAATTCTTTTTTGGAAATTAAGTCTATTGTGCCTGCTTTTTAGTGAATGTACTGCATTTCCAGTACTAATTCTAGTCCAAGGGCCAAAGACAGCCCTGGTGTAAATCTGCTGAGTTCAGTGAGATTTGTTTGGCACTGCTTATTTAGGATATGGACCTGTAAAGTGATGAGTGTCCTCAGCTCCCATCAAATTCAGCATCTTATGGACTCAGATCTTTATGCTGAGTTCTTGCAAAGTTCTTGGAAAGTCTTATGTTTATGACTCTGGTAATACAGTAGTTAGCTGTGAAAAATAACGGATAAATATGTGTGCATTCCCAAACACTTGACTTTTGTTTTCCTCTAAGCTTGCAAGTAGGATGTTCAGGCCAAAAGAAACAAGGCAGAATTTTAATGTTAAAAGCAAGTTAAGGACTTGCTTTTTTATGTTACATCAAGATGTTCCATCAGAAATATAAACGCAAATGAGTGTGTTTGACCTTGGATTATCTAAGGTCAAACCTGGAGGACCACACCTCATACAGGTGGATTCAGCTGGCTTTGTAATGGAGGAGGCTGATTGTCCCCCTGAGTTTCCAAGTGAAAACTGCATTTCCTTTTGTATGCATTGCTTTTGTGCTGCCTTTTGTTTAGGGGTTGCTGTGTATTTCTATGCTGATGATGTAGAGTTCGTTGTGTCAGGTAACTGTTTGCTGTAAGAGGGTAATATTAGAACTTGACCCAGCTTAGCTAGGTGCAAGGAACCAATCTTCCAGAGCTTCCAGTAGGAAGCTTTTTTCTGAGGTCAGAGTTGACAAAACATGGACAATGGGGCTTAGTATGACAGAATTTTCATTCTTTAAAGAATGAATTACAAACAATAGGGTAATTGTCAATGACTATGCAGAAGATTATTTTTAAAGAAAGTGAGTCCAGTCATTCTGTAAAATTAGGTCTAAAGCATCTCAGGCTGGAATGGGGCCTTGGGAAGGAGCTGAGGTGGAATAGTTAAGAACTCATCTCAGAGTGAATGGAGGTGCCTCAGAGCTGTACTTTGGGGAGTCTTTGGTTCCCAAGTTTGGGCTTGATTTTTCATTTCCTGAAGAAAGATCAGCCAAGGTCATAACTGAAACTATAGTCTGCATGGCAATTTATCTTGTCTGTCTTGCAGGTTTTTGTAATGTGCCTGAAAACCTTGTACTTTTTAAATTCCTCCTGCCTGTGGCATTAAAGAGAATACTGGAGAAGGAAAAAATTCCTAGGGATGAAGGCATGCATTAAAATCTTTTAACTCCAAATTTCATGGTTTATATGTAAGATCAACACTTTTAGGTATAAAACACTTAAGGATGCTTCTCCATGGCCAAAGTTAAACATTTCATAGCTTTTCTAAATGTTGTTTCACTCCTTCAAAAATTGTGTTTGAAGCAGAACTTCTCACCATGGCTACCTTCATGAGTTTTGCTTAGTATGTGTTTGTTTGAGGTGGTTTTCAAACACTCGAAGACACTAACTAGTGTGTATTCATAGCAGTTCCATGTGTGCTGTGGTGTAAATGTGCATTATGATATACACTGTGCATTGTTCTGCATGCATCTGCTTTTGGAGGCTTATAGACAGTTCTAATGACCATTGGCACATGTTAAGGATATGCACTTATGTTATGTGCCCTGTGAAAACCCATCCTACTATCTTCCTGGTTGAATGATGACTGTTGTCTCTTCTTGGACACTGATGGCAAGCACTGGCTGTTTGCACTGTATAGTGTCAAAATTCACCGCTGTGTGGTTCGGTGGCTTGTTTTTAATGATGGTGTGGTAGGGGTGGAAAGGCATTGAGAGGTATAGTTAGAACCTCTTTTTTCATGAATGACTAATTAATTGTCTCCTTCTCCTTTTAGTATTAAATACCAATGATCATTTCTTGTCATATTCTCAGATCAGACTCCTACACCAACACGCTTTCTGAAGAACTGTGAGGAAGTGGGCCTCTTCAACGACATCGACTGCTCCCTGGAGCACGAGTTTAGGAAGGCACAAGAAGAAGAGAACAACAAAAGGGTGAGTGTGAGCACACTGAACCCTTCCTCTGCTTTGGATGACTTGGAATGTTAAAGGATGTGTCTTTTAAAATATGTGAGAGCAGATTGAGCTCTACTACCTGGTTAGAAACTAGGTGGCACTATACATTGTGACATGTTTTTAAAACTACTGAAACAGTTGAAATAAAACCCCCAAACCAACAAAAAAACAGAATTAAATTTCCAAAAGTGCCTAACTGTATTTGCCAGGGTTTGATTCCAAGTCTCTGCTTTTAAGTAAACTATAACACAAACCACACACCTCTTGAGAGAGAGGCTTGGGAAAATTGTATCATCTTTGAAGTGAGGATTGCAAACTTGCTCAAATACATTACAGGGAAATGTGGATCATGAAGGGCCATTTACTTAAGAGCAAAATGTTTCTCTTTTTTGGTGTTTTTTCATTCCTCCACAACACGATGGGCTCCTGGATTTTTTTGTCATCACTATCAGCTTTATTGTGTTTCTGTATTTCTCATAAAGTATTCATGTTGAGCAGGGAAAGTTTGACTTGAAATACCTAACAGTTAGCATATCCCATTTCAAATTAGTATTCTTTTATCCTCAGTATTCAGAAGTTTTGGTGGAATTATATAGGCAACTTTGTATGGGATTAAGCGTACTCTTGTACCCAAAGGTTGTTAGAGTGTTTTGAGGGATCCTAAAGTGCAGTAAAAATTTTCAAAGAATTGTAAAAGAGCTTAATGCACTACAGAAGCCAGCAAGAAGTAATACATGAAATTTTAACTTTTCTAATAATACCCAACGTTCTGGTTGCTTGTGAGAACTGAAACACAAGCAATGCAGGATTCCCTATAGGAGCATATTGCGCCTTACAGCCCTCCGACAATCAGCCCAATGCCTCCCCTTCACAATGTTCCCTTTTATGTCTCTGTTTTCCCTTCTCCCATTTCTGCAGCTCTTGGAAATTCTTGTGTAACATGTCCCCTGCCATAGGAGTTCCCCAGTTATTGAACACTGTGTTACTTGGCTTAGTTCTCATAGTAATCTCTGTATGTCCAATTTGAAACTTAAGCAGGACCATAGACTAAAATCAGGAAGAGGCAGCTACAAAGCAGCTACAGTGCTTTAGCCAGAGTGCACTTCTGAGCTTGCCTCCATGTTAACTTGCCTTTCAGAGTGTCTGTGCCTCCAACTGCAAAGTAATCTATAGGTACTCCTTCTTACAGCTGTTGCTTTATCTCATTTGCTTTGCCTGTTAGTGATTGCTGACCAACTCAAAATTCATACCTGTGAGACATGTGTGCTGCTGGGGCATATCACATCTGGAAGCAACAGCATTTAGGGATCTTGAGGTCTGCAAAGTAAAGGCCCAAGAGGGCTTTGTGCAAGAAAAAAAGAGGCAAAGCTGCTTGCTGAGGTGCAGAACAGGAGAGGAGACTCGTAGAAAGATGATGAGAGGGAGTCTAAGGTTGGTTTGGTTTTGGCTTATGGAGAAGGGAATTCAGGGAAGGTTTATTTGTGGCTTAAAAGGAAAGAGACTGAGACAGATAGAGGAGGACAGAGGCTGTGTCATGGTATGCTGAGCAAGGAAAAAGAATGTCCAAATGTGAGAGAGTTCAAGTTTTGGTCAAGGATTGGGAAAATAACCCAGACTGACCCTCACAGCTTTGTGTGCAGGACAAATGTTAGGAAACAGCCATGTATTGAGATAAATGTGGCTAATTTTAGATTTAACTTGTTAAAAACTTTGTGGTTTATGTGCTGCAGAGGGGAGTATTAACTAGAATCAATGGGAGTATTTCTGTACATTCCTACTTCTTTGCGCAGTAGAGGATTCCTAAGTGGTTCTTTGTGCATGGTGCTTATTTTACAGGAGTAGATGGAGAGAAATCTACTGAGCTAGACCTCTGTGCAGATTGCAATGCTTGGTATTGCAGAGTCCATTTCAGCTTACAAGGGGTAGTTGCACAATCTGATTAAAACCTAGACAAGGTCATCGAGTTACCTGATAATTCCAGCTGTTTAAGGGTCTCTGGAAGTGTTATTCTGCCTTCCTTCTACCAACCCCTGCAGCTGTCATTGGTGATCTCCAGAGAGCAAATAAGTGAGAGTAGGTGTGGGAAACAAACAACAAAAATATCCCCCCAAACAAAACCCCCCAAACAAACACAAAACCCCAAAAAAGTGGAGTTGAAAAAAGGAAAAAGAAAAAACCAGAAAGGAAAAAAAATGGGGCATAAGTTTCACTCACTGGGTAACCTATAACATTTGCTCTGTGTTTCCAATTAGTCTGCTGTATATCCATTCTTACATTACCAACTGACTGTCAGATAGGAATCTGAAGCTGGCCCCAGTAGGGCTTTACACAAATGCAAGAGACAAAGGCCAAGACAGAAAGGGACTCCTCAGGCTGCAGCTATCCCTAAGGAAATGCTTCTAACAGCCTGTCCCTGGAATATGAGTGCAATGTAGCATTGGCCTAATGGACCTACCAACATATGGAAACTAAGGTTAACTGCATGGAAATCTTACTCACAGCTGAGAAAAGTCTTCCAAAAATATTTTTGGTCATATTAATTTATCTGGGCTCTGAAAGAAAGAGTTTTGTTTATTTTAGTGTATCACTGTGGCTTAGCACACAGCTTGACACTGAAATCTTGTAAGATAAAAACATTTTCATTTTTGTTTGGGTATTTTGCTCCTTGAGAGTCATAATTTGAAAACTCAGGGAATAAAGCTCAATTAGCTGCATTTTTTTTTCAGTCTTCTGAGTGGGAGCCTGTGGATAATCCCTGAGAACTTCTTGTGATGGAGCTGGTTATACAGACTGGTGACATTCCAAATTAGCTGTGAATCACTGAGTACACCATGTGTACTTTTATTTTGGTAAAAGTAGTATTGAGGGGAAAGCATTTGCATTAATATCCCAGCTGCTTATTCAGGAATAAATCACTTGACATCTTTCTACCATAGTTGCTCTTGTGTAAAGTGGGAGTAGTGTCTCTTTCTGCCCTGTACTTGATATGTCTTATGATTGTAAGCTCATCTGTCAAGGACCATCTCTGTAAATATACATGGCTTAGCCTTTGCTTGGGGACTGAGTGGACTTAAGTAATAATAATGTTGGTAACCTCCAGGACCTGAACTGAAATGATAAAAATGAAGCTATAAATGGAAATGAGACAGTCAGTTTGTTTTGGCTCCTCTGTTGCCTATGCCATCCACTATTAACTGGAAATTTCTACTTGAGAAAGGCCTGCTCCTTGAATGCAAAGGATGCTATAGATCAGCAATAAGCTTATTGATAAGCATATGAGAAAGAGACTTTTTATATCCTCTTGCTGGCAGTCTTCCTGACACAAGCATCCTACCTGCCAAATTCACCACAAAATTAGCACAGGTAAAAGCATACCTATACTATATTTCTGCTTGCAAAAATGTATATATTAAAGGTCTTAGGAGCTTGAGGCAGGCAGCAACTGGCAGCTTGGCCCCAGATTTGCAACTCAACAAGGCAGGTAGTGTTGGCATATCAGATGACCATCTTAGTCCACCAGCTACAGGTTTTAGATTTACACTGCTCAGAGCACTAAGTATCCAAAGCATTTGTAATGGGTTATACTTGCAAGCACATGACCTTTGCTGCTACTGGATAGGCCCTGCTGTCATGTCTTGTTTTAAGCATTGAGTTGGGGCTGAGAGCATAATGTCAAAGATGGGAAGAGTCAGGATCTGTTTCTGAATAACTAATTGGACTCGCTTCATTACAATGCATCTAGCCTGATCTCCCTGCATCAATTGAGAGAGTGGAAATACTCTGAGTGTAGCAAGCAGAGTACTACATCAAACAGTATTTACAAATAGTAAGCGTGGTTTTGCAGGAGGTGGTGTCAGTGCTGCAGTGTAGAACAGTGTGACTTCTGACTGTGTGCCCTGCCTCTACAGCAATCACATTAGCTCCAGTTTTCCCTTGTGAGTACTCTGAAACCCCAGCAGGGTGGTTGAGAAGAGCAGTGTGCTGGTAGACATTTCAGAGTCAAATGCTCTGAAACAACTGAATTTCACTTGTGAAGTAGTACAAACCAGAAAACTCATAAGCCTGTTCCTGGATCACTTTTGACTCATTGACTAACAGTCTGTACAGCAGAAGAAAGGAAAGACCTGTGTTTAAATGCTTACTATTTTGATGTTAAAAAAATTATGCAATCATAAATGCACATATGTACATTCTCCCTGCATTTGTCTCAACATAATGTAAGAACATACTTTTTTTATTTATGTCAAAGGGCCCTCTGATTTCTTATTTTCCCACTGAGATTAAGTATCTTATGTAGTGAGTATGTTATGGTAGATGCCAAATAAGACTAATGATGGTTTATGTTAATGCAGTGCTTAAGGCCCAGGGTACCATTGTTCTAGGTATTGTAATAACTTCAAGCTGTTACTTTATCAATCAGTTAAGCTGTTGTCAAGGTGATAGCTCAAAACTCTTAATTCAAAATCCAAAATATCACCTCACATTCAAAGGTTTCAGTATAATAGTTTCTGTTCTCTAAATACAACATCTATATCTGTGAAGACGTAAGCATCCTCACACTACAGCATTTCTTCTGGGTGACATATTGAAGTACTAGAAAGATACACTACAACCCTTTATCAGTTTTTATGAGAGTTGTTCTGAGTTTTCATATGCATTAACTGCATCAGGTTATTGATCTGCTTTATGAATTCATTTTTGATATGTAACACCCCTTTTTTAAAATTAAATTAGCTTTTGCATCATTTCTATAGAGAAGGGAAATGCTTTATCTCTTATTTTCTAAGGAAGAACAGGTTGCAGAGGATGTCACTTTCCAGACCTCCTTCATAGTGTGACACCAAGCTCTTGTAGGAATCACAATCATGGAGTGAGAATTGCAGGGGATCTGTGTCCTTTCCTTCATTCTGCCAAGCAAGTGGCTTTCTGTTTCTTTTGGTTGCTACACATCTTAGGCAGCATGGCCACAAAAGATTGAT